TCACCCAGACGGAAAAGGTTTGTAGCCATACCAGGTCATGTAAAGGAATGCCTTGGCCTCACATGACATTATGCCTAGGTTTCTGAGGTAAAACGCGAACTTTTCAAGCTTAAGTGTCTTGGTTACGCGGAATCGAATTATTATATCTTGGCAGACTTGTGTTACGTTAAAATGTTGTAACGAGCTGGCATGTCGACCCGTACCGTTCGGTGTCAGACATCGATATGCTATATCGAAGTAGCAGTCAATTCCTGGACTAATGAACTCAGCGGCCGGCGCGTCTTGGTAGAGACGTTAGATGCGATGTTAAGAATATAAAACATTAAGGGGTTGAGGTTTTACAGCGCGCCGGGTACTTCGGAATGCAATCCTATGAAAACCATGCAAGATCCGAGCCGACAGTACATTATTAGATAGCTAAGTAGTAATTTTGACGCGTGTTGGTGGATATCATGGCACAGAAAGACCAGACATTAAGGCAAATACCATCGTTAGATCCAGAACGGCCGTGGCTTTCCGTTGGCATACCGGCTGCATGCAACTTCAACAGCATGAATGCACCAGAAATGGCATGCACCAAAAACAGCACGCACCAGAAACAGCACGCACCAGAAACAGCATGTACCCGAAACAGCACATATCAGCAACAGCGTGCACCAGAAAAAGTGTGTACCGGAAACAACGCGCGCCAAAAGGAGCGTGCACCGAAAAAGGATGCCCCAGGCATGTGCTAGAAGGACTGTGCACCACACAATTCCCAGCACCTAGATCCCCGAGGTTTAGGAAGGAGCCTAGGGCTTTTATTATTGGCGCAGTCGAGTGGCGGAGTCGATCCCGCATGTTTTATCAGATGCCAAGGCGGCAAAATGTAGCAACTGCCATCATGACCGGGCGTTTGGTCACTATCACATGTCGCGTAATCTATTCACATATACTCAATGTACTCCATCCTAATGACTTAGTTAGTCCGCCTGCCCTACGATCCACTCGCCCGTAGTAGGATGCGTTCGAGTCGCTTGAGGCGCTCGCCATTTGCCCTTGACAGATATGGCCTGTTATCGGTGGCAGCACCGCGCTAAAAGGCAGGTGGTGTCAGAGAGCAGGACGGACCGTGGCGAGCGTTGCGGCACGTTAAATATTTGCCTCCGAATTCGGCCGTTGCCTTGGAATTGCGCGATCGGATGGTGGGGGTCAGGGCTGACGCAACAAGCTTTGCCCAGCGTGGGGTCTGATCCCAGAAATCCAACCATTCAAACGGTATGGTCTAAATATGAAAAAAACAATATCGTAAGCCGTATAGGTCGTAGCTTTCAGCGCATGAATCGAGGAATGTGCATGAATGGCTCACGTGTGTGTGTACCGCTCGCAATTTCAGGAACTCTCGGTGAGACGGGGCTGCGATTTTAGGCGAGTCCGCGATTCCCCACCCCTGGGGTATTATATAAACTCGTGTAGGAAATATATGAATAGACCCTCACAAAAATTATTGTCTTTCAAACTGATCAATATTACGTGAACACAGGGCCGAATGTGAAAGAAAATTACCGTATGGTACATGATAATTGCGGCTTTCGACCAACAAGCAGGTTATGCGTTCTGTCAGAATAAAATCAAATGAACTCACATACCCTCCTGCTTGTGTCATTGAGGTGATTCGTTAGTTATTGAGTTGTTAGCCCAGTGGTGGGGCGAAGTAGATTTGCTATGTTTTGGCAAAGTTGAGCATTTTTAAAACGTGGCAGTTGGCCTGTTATAACCAGCCGTGGTGCCACATGTCAAATATTGATCCAATGTATCATGATATCTGGTGGCTGCAGTTTTCAATGCGTGTATCAATGCGCTCGCTGACTGATTTTTTTACATGGACAGGTGAGAGCATTGTAAATGGAAAGAGATCGCCACTTTCCACCCGATAGGTTACAATATATAGTCTTGCAGTAAATATGGAGACTTGGATATTAGCTATATGAACAACATAACGCAAAATAAGAAACAGGTACTTAAAATGGAACATCAATGAAATATCATCGTTAAAGCGACTGTTCAATATTTGCGTGGAGATTAAGGTGAGATGGCCATTTTCAACATAATTCCCGTCAGTTGAAAAGCCATGCTTTTTTAAGAGAGCTTTCCACCTTTGTATTGGCTCAAACAGCGACATATTGAGCAGCATATTTACTTAACAGAGAACTTGTCTTGTCTAGAGCAGTCTTTCCCACTGAGAAGTATATAAATACTTAAACGTAAGCTTACTTTTTCATGCGTGTTGCTTGGTTAACTACCTTAACTTCAAAATGTCATCAATATCATAACTTCAAAATAATATATCAATATCAAGGCTCCAAAGCCTCTTGCTTCTAAGCCTGCCGCACGCAAACTTGTGAAGACGACTTCGTGCCGCCTATTTGAAAGTTTGCCGGGCATTTATGTCCTGATATAAACGTCACGCGAGTACCCCACCCAATTAGCCGTACTAGATTTATGGTTAATAAAAAGATCGCCACTGAAATATTTGTGCGTTTAGTGATTCAAAATCAGGTAATCCAACGATAAAACGTAACTAGCTAATAGCCAGATCGGGCTGTGATTACCTGTTTGGATCATAGCGTCGTTATTTGTATTAGTCTTTCCGATGAGTAATGGCCGATTTCAGAGCTATGGGATGAAGAAGAATGGATAACGGTGACGCAAGCCTCTATTTGCCTGGGGACTCAATGGCCGAGATTGAGCCCGCGGGGACCCCTCTGCGCGGTGTGCTTCGGGCGCCCGGACGGGAAATCCCTTCCAGGGGGCATCGCGGCCCATTCGTGACTGACGCATGCACCTTGACCCTGATAGGCGGGGAGCCGCGGGGATTTAGGATAAAGCAGGAATGGAGATAAAAAGGTCGGATACGGTGTGTTTTGCCACCAGTCACAAGAACTGATCACCAACCGCGCTTTATGATAAATGCCAATGGCATTTGGGCCATTGGTATAAGTTGTATTTTAAGTTGTAATTTAACTTATAATATGCGAGTCAAAGACATGCCATCACCGAAAGAATGCACCAAAACACAAGGAGAAAAGTTCAGAACACACCGCAAATAACTCTCCAAACCTATATTTACACTCCAACGTCTCACAAACATCCCATGGCACAATGAAGCAATGACAATGGCAAACGGAGCATATTCACTATGTAAAGAAATTGTGCTGTCTAGAGCAATCTTTCTCCCTTAAAATATATCCATATCTGTAAGTGAGGTCATTTTATCATGACTGATGCGTGATTTAACAACTCAAATTGAGAAAAATTCCCTTTTATGCAAAATAAAATGGGTCGTGATTTGCCGGCGCACAGAGATTATACCAATCTCCACAGGAAATAGGGCATTAGGCGACTGGCTGCTCTCATGCTCGTTGGTCAACATTATTCGAACACAAAATAAAGAAGAGATGCAAGTACCGTCACACATCGTGACTGATCCGACCCCGGTTTAAAAAAAAATCATATGCATATTAAGCATCAGATCATATCCATGGGCATCTGCTTAAGATGGCATCGCCCTGCCTGACTGGTTCTGGGTCGAGATGACGTTTGTTTTTTTTTTTTTAAGTCGGATGCAGTCGTGAGGTTCAGTCGACTTCCTGTATTGTACATTGTCTGAGAGAACGCCTCAAAGCATAGTAATGGATCGGTATGACCGGTCGTATTGGCTAGAGTGGAATATCGATGCAATATATCGTGACTTCTGAATGTTACGGCATGCATTGCATAAACGAACAAACTCTTCTGTTCACGTACCTTTACATGGGCAGCACCTGCAGCAGTTCCGAAGAAGATCAACGTGCTCGTGTTTTTTTACTGTAAATATATTATGCATTCCGTAGGGTACTATAAAAAGCAAAAGACTAGTAAAACATTTTTACAAACGTTGTTCCATATCAAGCAAATGTTAGACCTCACCTGAAAGAAAGTACCCACAATAGATCAAGAATGCTTCTAGATCTCTACTAATTGTAGTTTGATTTTATTTTTGCTCATAGATTGTTTGGTCTGACTTGACCTCCTATCTGGTCCGGTCAAGCCACATTTGCGTTTTGAGCTCAATGGTGAAGTGCGGCGCGGAGTCGACTCGTTTCTGACTCGTGGCGTAACTTATCTCATATACAGAACAAATATGAAACTATATTAAAACGATGGTATAGTGTTGTTCTGGATTGTCATCCTGTAAGACCGCCTTATAAGATTATCTTTCGTGCGAATCAAACAATATTGACGCAATATACGCGCAGGAGAAAACCATAATTCTGGATTTTTCGCGGAGAGAAGGAAATTGTGCTTAAGGCAACGCAATTTCGCTGAAATTTTGCTTGGATATTCGGTAAACTTAACCGGTCTAGCCCCTACCTGCGGGGAAAAGTCGGTCCAGCTGGGTGATTGGGGAGTGGTGCATGGTTCTGTGGCAAGCTTGAATGATATCGAAGGGGTCATTCATATCTGCTGGATATAACAAAACTGTACTCCTGTCAAGTTTAAACGGTTGTCTTGGGATGTTATTGTGCTAAGCGCATTCGCCTTCACATTCAATTTTCTCTTGACTCATTTTTAGCATTTCTGTCTCCCTATCAGTGTACACTCAATTACGCGCCTCCCTTAACATGCTCGTTTCGCGCAGACGGTCACCTCTCAGCTTTGGATTATGGATGCGGTTGAACATCCAAAACATAAGATAAAAGGCAGGACTTTTGGACATTTATATATTTTTAGGGTATTTAGTTCCTTTTCACGCAGTTGGAACACTACATGACTTTAAACTAGACACCAGAAATGGCCCCCATCTCCCCACCCTACCCTTACCTTATAAAAACCTCCAGATTGGGTAAGAGTGATCGACTATTGACCGTTTGATTCCATTCCAGTACATTTCTGCTGGGGTTGAAATGAAATTCGTTGCTCGCAAGTGCCATGCCTTGAGTACTTTTGAATAGAAATGCTGCATGTCTCTGTCTTCACAGAACTGGGAGTTCGAGGGATACAACAACAACCGGACCAACAGCTTTGTGCGGGACGGCATCTTATTCGTAAAGCCGACGCTCACTGCTGAAAGATTCTCCAATGACTACCTCTACTCCGGCGTTCTGGACATGAACGGAGACAACCCATTCGACCAGTGAGAGCCTCCAAACGGAGGGGAGACTAAACAGTCAGGCTCATTGTCAATAATTTTTAGTCATAAAACACAATCAGGCTGCAACGTAGAAGAGAAAGCAGGTTGTGGAGTCTTGTCATAATCACTTCTTTCTTTCTTCTCTCACTTCTTCAAGTTCACTTCGCCCATAATTTACGCTAATTGTTCACAGTTTCGAACAATGCTAGAAGACTACGAACGCCTGCATTGGCGACGCGCATCGCACCAACCGATTTCATCCGTCCTATGTATTGCTACATCTCCGACCGTGTCTTTGGTCGCATAACCGTGCGTGTGTATCCGTTTCAGATGCACATCACCCCTGAACTTCGGCTGTTCCAGACAGGGCAGTCAGGCCGACATCTTGAACCCAATCATGTCCGCTTCCCTCCGCACAGCGCTCTCATTCACCTTCACGTACGGCCGCGTAGAGGTCAGAGCCAAGATGCCCGCAGGCGACTGGATCTGGCCAGGTGATAACCACATAAGCGGTCTTTGTCCGCGACCTCAGATATGTCCGGCGCAGCTTCCTTCCACGTATACACTTCATGCCCCGGCGTGTTTCTGCAGCTCGTTTGAATAGCCCCCGTGTTGCGGTATGTCTTGAGGGACTCGTGTGATCTGAAGTGCTTGCCGCTCCGCGCCTCACGCTGCGTGTGTAGGTACATTCAAACGCGGTTTGTGTTGTGGTGCGATGCTGGTGTTGCGTGCCCTGCCTACTGGCTCCGAGTGGTGCCGGTCGGCTGCGTGTTGTGGTACGATGCTGGTGCTGTGTGCCCTGTCTGCTGATTCCGAGTGGTGCCGGTGGACCGCGTGCCGTGGTGCGATGCTGATGTTGCGTGCCCTGCCTGCTGATTCCGAGTGGTGCCGGTCGGCCGCGCAGTGCGATCTGGAGATGTAGTGAGTGACATATGTCCGGCCCGCCAGCCATCTGGATGAAGCCGAAAATGGAACCGTACGGCAACTGGCCGACTTCCGGAGAGATTGACATACTGGAGAGTCGCGGCAACGGCGACCTCTCCGTGGGCGGCACCCAGATCGGTGAGTGGCTCGGCCAGCGGCGCTAGTGACGGCCGGTGCTCGACTGGATCCCACAGAGCCAGGCAGTCAGCCTCGACACGGTAATGTGTTGCGCTATCTTTCCTGGTGTTAAACCGCGAGAGACTCTGTTGGTAAGATGGAAAACTCTGAAGACTTTCTGACCCAGCGCTGCACTTCCAAACACTCTTTATGTTGCAAAAGCCGTGGTGGGGTCCTGATATCATGAGATGTGTTGGTTGCACAGTTTCCCATTTACTGCAAGCCTATCATTCTCCTCTAGTTGTGAAAGCTCTCGTATCCAACTATATGCGGTAATTATTTTTCTCATGATTTCATGTGTCATAGTGAACTGGAGCGGTGCGGTCCGCCCACCCAGTCCACCCGCTTGGTCGTTAAGACGGTTCACGTTTTACTCTGGTATGTTAACTCGGTCTATAGTGGTCCACTTTTCTCCATGGCGCTTATCTTATGGCGGCCCTCTCTCACTGGACGCGTTCACTTCAACCCGAAAAAGATATATTGGCCATGATTGTATGGCCATAGGCGATTAATAAGCGCCTGGGTGGCCTGTTGGCCCTTCGCTCAGCGGGGCTAAATTTAACCAGCTGAGATCTCACAAAATAAAAAGCTGGAGGCACCAAATTCACAGGGTGTGTTGGCCTGTATGTGAACTCACTTGTGACGAAATTTGACATTTCTAGGCCATTATTTTTGGGTCTAACAAGGTCAAACAAGGTCTAACGCCAGATTGGTGTCCAAATTTTCCCAGAACCTAGATACCTGTTCTAAGCAAAAGATTGCTGGCGCTCATTTAAGGTCAGTGGCCTTCTTTTACCTTAAGCAGGTCATGGTGACCAAAATTATACAAGGCTGCTTTGAGTTTTGCATTTGAATAAATGCCAAACATTACGCAAGGCAGTATGTTTCTAAAAACGAAATGTGTGTCTGGGACATTTTAGGCCAGTTACTTATTTTGACCTTTAAAAAGTTCATGGAGAATGTATAAGGCGATTCCTGTTATCAATATATTTGAAAAATGCACCAGAAATTTCTCCATACCGCAGCTCCAGTGTAATAAAGCAGTTTGATTTTGGCATTGGTCTGGCCTTCATAATTGACCCTAGGTCAGTGGAACTTGGTCATTCAATGGTTCTATTGCTTAAGAAACTATTTCAGAGATATATGGTTTCGCTTAACACTTCATTATTGCATCAGATTGAACGATTTCCTAGAAATTGTCTTCGCTGAACCCATGGCCTGAGTTGAACCTGCAATAGGTCAACGACCTAACAATGTAAATATAAGCTTTTGATGTCAAACGATCCGGTATTTAATTTCCTACGGCCATGCAAAATTTGGCATGGATACGCCGCGCCGTTCGGAAACTAGCCCGGAAAACCTTCGGGGGGGGGGGGGGGCAAATTGATCCCACCCGAGCACCTGTTCAGCAGCACTGGAAAAATAAAAGGAACGCGTGCAGAAAACAGCTGGTTGCAAAATCTTTGGATGATGCGCTCACTCCTCGTATAATAAGCCCGGTGTGAAACTTGAAGCATGACGCTACGAAAGCGGTCCATGCCTGCCCGCGGTTGCCATAGTGCATCATGCGCCATCCATATCACGGACACATGAGTCAAGTCAGCATGACATTTTGGCCTACTCGCATGTTTCTCACAATCGACAACACAACGGCCCATCCCTATTTCTTTAGCATTATGGTATGACGTAGATCTCATTCATCGTTACATGCGTGTAAATTCCCAGCGTAGTGCACTAAGATAGTGGCTATCGGCTGCTAAAAGTACGACTAGCACACTTGGCCATATGTTTAAGTATATCTGTATCTAATGATCCGTTCGAAGCCAGAGGCGGTATTAAACCATGCATCATTGCCAATCAAGTCCAGCTATGTTACACAATATCGATAACTCCTTCAACTAACCGAAGTTAGCTGTCGATGAGTGGCGGTCTCATCAGTTTCATTGGAAGCGATGATTTAGATGGAGCATGTGGCGGCGCCTGATATACAGCTAGGTAGGCAGCTGGCAGGTCACATGTGGCGGAAGGTCGCATACACCAGTACGTTGTCAGTAAGCGAACATGCAAATCACTGACCGCAAATCACTAAGGGATTCTATGTAATTTAAAAAAAGAAATCACCAACATGTTTAAATATAAGTATAAATATAAACAAAAACACAAATAAATAAATAAATATATATGTGCACATGTATCAACTTGACAACAACATTAACTGTTCCTAAGATCAACCGTAATCAGCATCAGCTACCGGCAACTGAAAACCCTTCGGTGTCATTGAAATTGTAGCATGACGTTGGTTAACTACGATGTCGCACAGCTAACCGTGATCACATCTGATGAAAATCTATAACAAATCCCATCCAATCCAATCCAAGTCGTAAAAAACACGCAAAACATTCTCTTTGAAGGAACTGCTTCACTTTAGAAGGGCAAGGCTGTGAAGTGTACCGAATGATCTTCTAGATGGCTGATTCAATTCAAAATCTCACAAAATGTGGAACACCTCCATTAAAACCTAAACTCCTCTGGTGTCTGAGCTACAAGCCCGCGAAGATCTGCAGTTCGCTTCGTGCAAGCTGTTTCAAGGTGACACAGACATTCATGACGCCATAAAAAAGTCATTCAAATCCTGCCATTCCACTGTTCATGCGGCGTTCAAGGTTGATACAAATTTCATTGTCGAGTCATTCATATCTGGCGTTAGCGAACTTGACTTCCATATATAACAGCCGTCAATTGACTCTCAATCCATGTTGCGCGAGTTATGCAAGATTCTAATGAGAATCGCATGTTGTGCTACCTAATAGTTATACATTCTTCCTAATCGTTACGGAAATGAGACTTGTGATCGAATAACCTAAGAATGACGCTATAATTGAGTTATGGGTGCAAGTGGACGTTTGAAACTCTTGGATCATTATGTAAGAACGCCACGAGAAAGGGCCGAAACACGATTGCAACGAGATTTGGCTCAGCGAACACTTCCAGCCGTGCTGCTATATCTCGGGAGATTGAAGAGTTGCAAATGGCATGCTAAATTCCATGGCGTAATCAAACAAAGACATATTAAGGACCATATTTACGAAATAAAGTAATTGTGTTGTCGACAGCAGTCTTTTCCACTTAAAATTATACCGGTAGTTATAAGTAGCTCAGTTCATGTTATATGAGGCTTGCTTAAATAGCTTTAAATGGAGAGCGCTTCCTTTAAGTTATTGGATCCTCAGTGTCATGCCCGTCAAAACTGGCAAGGCTGCTCAAATATCTTTGTTATGTTTCACGAAACGCGGTTTGTGATCGAGACCTCCATTTAATGCGTTAGGCTGGATAAAAGCCAACTGATCTCCGTTGATGCGGCAATTCATGCAGATGTGCTACAGATATAAACAAGTGAATGGTCGTATTTTCCTTGACCTTGGACACAAGACGGATATTGGAGAGGCGAAATTTGTCTGACGTCTCCATGACGTCATGAAGACTGGGTGACTTTAAAATAGGCGACGCGAAAAATTTGCAGAAGTTGGCATGCTTTTGGCCCAAACGGAGAGGAGTTTAAGTATTACAAGGGGCATGGCTTAGAATTGCAGGTAATTATCTGGATAATGGTTATTTCAGTTCAAAACTCCGTAAAAGATGGAACAGTACTTTAAAGATGAGCGACCCTCAAATACCGTAGATTGTTGATTCAAACTTTGATTTAGGCGCGGTTGATTTTCCTTATTTTGAACGTTTTTTTTCAAATTCGGGCAGTTTCTGCTAAGTTATGGACCTTGAATACCCATACCAGGAGGTATTGGTTAAACCATGTTATACAGCAAATATTTTGTTTCATTCTCACATCTCTATTTTTCAAGCCGTGCTTACAGTCACGAGAGTCACGAGTCACAAGGTTGACCAAAGTTTAGCAAAAATGCACCTAAAACAGGGGCACGTGAGTCCAGGAAAGGACTTGAATCCGTGCAGGCACTACCACTATGAAGATATCAAAATAATAATAGCCCGTTCTCCCACATCCTAACAACCGATGCACCTGGTTATATGCTCTCGGCTGCACGAAACACAGGCAGTTTAACCAGAACGTAATGACGACCCATTTCTAACATTTTATTTTTACTTACAATGAACATCAGACACCACGAACACTGCACGGACCTTACGATCACCCTGGGTATTCGGGTTCCCACGTCCCAACACCCAATACACGGTACTGCTAAGCGTCTCCCCAAACATGCACGCCCTAGGGTGAAAGGTTTTGATGACCCGTACCGCGTACCAGGATCGAAATAGTTTTGTTTCAGCGAGCATCGGTAATCATCACAACACATCAACTTTCTTAAATGTTGTTCAAACCAGGTCCCATGGTGACGTTTGTGTGTTTATCCTGGGACGAGGATAACGAATGTGAAGCGATTCGAGATGTCGCCGTCCACGTTGCCTTTAGTTGTTGCTCCCTCCTCGCAGACCACGGGACACCAGAGTGTCAGTAGGGTGAAAAATCATGCAGTGCATCGACACAAGGGTTGAAACCGTTGCCTGTGTGCAAAGGGGCTGTGATCCATGTAAACGCCCATGTTGTGCGCCATCGTCATGCCCATCCCCCCACCCCACATACGCACACGTACACGCACGTGCACATGCACACGCACACGCACACGCACGCGCACACGCGACACGCGCGCGCCCGTAGGCTATGAGCATAGTGCTCCAGTTTCCGCGTTTTGTGTATGTTAACCAATAAAACAATAATTCAGTACTAAAAGAATCAAGGAAATATTTCAGCATTCTGTAAGCGTGATAAACTCCAGCAAATTAATTGCTGCCGCCGACGCCTGCCAGCTCAGCTCGCTTACTCCGTTTGTCCGTCGTCCAGGCAACCAGCAAGTGTCATCGACGCTGCACTGGGGTCCGGACTTCGCCAGCAATCGCTACCAGCTCACGCACTTCGAGACCAACAACGCAGCGGGCTTCAACGCAGATTTCCACGTCTATAAGATGGAATGGAGTCCTGGTACAGTACACGACACGATGTGCTGTTAACAGCAGGGTATCGGAAGCGAAACACGTTGGGTCAAGTTTAGACTTAAAATAGTATTTCACTCAAAACACAGGTGCAAGCAGGGTATAATCCGGGGCTTGTGACAGCAAAATTATGGGAACCGACGGGGTCATCATGTTACCAATGTAAGAATGTGACAACCTATACTGTGACAGCTTGCTCGGATCAGACTAGAAGCTTGCGGGTGCCGAGTCGCCCGGTCAGACTGGACGTGTGCGGGTGTCGAGTCGACTGGTCAGACTGGACATGTGCGGGTGCCGAGTCGCCTGGTCAGACTTGACTAATGTGCGGGTTGTCGAGTCGACCGGTCAGACTAGTCGCGGTCAGGCTAGACGTGTGCGGGGTCGAGTCGGACTGGTCAGACTGGACGTGTGCGGGTGTCGAGTCAACTGGTCAGACTAGACGTGTGCGGGTGTCGAGTCGCCTGGTCAGACCAGACGTGTGCAGGTGCCGAGTCGACTGGTCAGACTGGACGTGTGCGGGTGCCGAGTCGACTGGTCAGACTGGACGTGTGCAGGTGCCGAGTCGCTTGGTCAGACTGGACGTGCGTGTCGAGTCACTGGTCAGACTACCGTGTGCGGGTTGCCGAGTCACTGGTCAGACTGGACGTGTGCGGGTACCGAGTCGCCTGGTCAGACTAAACATCCGCGGATGCTGAGTCGCCTGGTCAGACTGGACGTGTGCGGGTGTCGAGTCAACTGGTCAGACTGGACGTGTGCGGTGCCGAGTCGACTGGTCTTACTAGACCTGTACGGGTGTCGAGTCGCCTGGTCAGACTAAACATCCGCGGATGCTGAGTCGCCTGGTCAGACCAGAGGTGTGCAGGTGCCGAGTCGCTTGGTCAGACTGGACGTGTGCGGATGCTGAGTCGCCTGGTCAGAGCAGACGGGCGGGCCGATCGACGGGACGGCTAGTCCGCACCAGACTGTGCGGGTGCCGAGTCGACGGACGGCTGAGGTCCTGGTCAGACCACGTCGGGTGGCCGAGTCGACTGACGGGCTGGGTCCCTGGTCAACCAGACGTGTGCGGGTGCCGAGTCGACTGACGGCTGAGTGCCTGGTCAGACCAGACGTGTGCGGGTGCCGAGTCGACTGACGGGCTGAGGTGCCTGGTCAGACCAGACGTGTGCGGGTGCCGAGTCGACTGACGGGCTGAGGTGCCTGGTCAGACCAGACGTGTGCGGGTGCCGAGTCGACTGACGGGCTGAGGCGCCTGCTCGCCCGTCCCCAGAGGGCATCAAGTTCAGCGTGGACGACACCGCCCTGGGTGAGGTGACCCCACCTGCCGGCGGCTTCTGGGAGCTGGGTGGCTTCAACAAGGATACCTGGAGAAACAATCCATGGCAGGGCCGCTCCAAGATGGCGCCCTTCGACCAGCCGGTGGGTCACCAGATGACGCCACCTCCGTTGGCGATGCGCAGCATCCATCGTCACCATCAGTTGTGTGCTTTATTTCCTACGTCCACATGCTAATCCTACTGAGCAAGACATCACAATCCGCGCAAGCCATGCCTGCTGACAATTATCACCTCAGAAGAGCTAAAAGCTGTCACATGCTTATACTCAAGTTGATCTGGCATCCCAGCTGAAATATTCCATACAATCATATTTTAGACTAATTTATATTTTAGAGTAACTAGCATGCTGCCAACCCTGTGATATCAAGACCCACAGGTACTGTATTATCTCGTATAGGTATGTGTGTTGTTCGCCATCTTCGATCATTCCCACTACCGTCACATGTAAGTGCACATACCACACAAAACGAAACGCATACGTACGCGCAAACCGCAGTTCACACCTAATTTTAGCGGGTGAGGTGAACGTAATTCCCTGTTAGTTCTTTCTGAGCCAATGGTAAACAGTCAGCACGGGTACTTCATAATTCTTACGAGCCATCAATGCTTTCTCTGTGCTGATACGTTTAGATACATGCACCAGACAAATGCAGATCAACTACTTGCTTCCAAATCCACCCTAATGCTTTCATGTCGTAGCTCAATTAAAGTACGATGGGCACAGTCCAACGCTTAAAGATGGACACGGGACCGGCATAAATTAATTCACTCTACACTTGAGCGCCAAATAAGAAAGTTCGTTGGGTATGTTGCTTTTGTTGCTTCGTTGTAAACAATAACGAAGCCGTTCACAGCTTGTTCTTTTGTATAAAATCCTTCTAAAATCGGTGCCGGTGCCGGCGGTGCCGGGTCGCCGTTCACAGCCAGTTGTCAGCCGCCCCTTCCCCCCCCCTCGACCCACAGGGGCCGAGCTGGAAGTAGACTTTGCGCGCGTGTCAATGCCAGGAATCTGTGACCATCAACAAACCAGCGACATGTTGCAAACGTCGTCAAATGGAGTTACAGTTATTTGTTTTATATAACAACGTCCAATTCTTTTGGATTTCTATGTTTGTAATATCGGTTTTTGGTTAGAAACTATACGATAGAATGCTATATGTTCCTGCATCACGTTACGTTTTAGAAGGCATCATGTGGGCGTGGTTTTATGAAACCGTCAAGCTCATGGCAAAATAAGAAACCACAATGTGCCACTTCCAGGTAAGTTTAAAACCTGACGTTACGGGGATGGTGTTGCTGTGCAGATCTAAATTTGTCGCCAATGCGTTCATAAAAAAGACAGTTTCGGTGAACTTAGAGCATTGTGAGGCACTGAGCATGAGGTGACATGACAAAAACGAACCTCCAACTGAAGCCAGGCATAACAGGAGCTGGGTGGCAAGCACACGGGGCAAAGTTTGGCGAACGGCGTGGACATCTCCGGTGAGGAAAACAATCGGGGAGTTTCTAGTTGTGGTCACCAGCCAGCTCTAGCCTGGCACGTTTGTGGAAATCCCATCCATCCCACAGTATCTAAACCGAGTGATCATGTAGCACTAGCCAGCTGGGATCAACCGCAGATTTGCCCGTGCCAGGTGCGGTCAGGTGTACCTGGCTAATGACGTCATTGGCCGATGCTTATGACGTCATCAGCTAAACAGCATCGGCCAGCAGGGCGCGGTGCGCGCTGGTAAAGCCCCCAGCCATGCCGCAGTTTCCTATCTGCCTCACTGACGTCAAGCGTTGCTGGTCGACAGTTCTACCTAAAGCTAAACGTGGCCGTGGGCGGCACCAACAGCTTCTTCCCGGATGCAGCTGTCAACGGCGCCGGTGCCAAACCCTGGTCCAACACGTCGCCCACGGCGCCCAAGGACTTCTGGGAGGGAAACGGCCAGTGGCTGCCCACCTGGCAGGGCGACGACGTGGCCATGCAGGTCGACTACGTCCGTGTCTACGCCATCTAAAGGGTCGCGTCTCCGTCTGGCGTACTCGTCAGCTTTGCAGACATCACTGGGAGCCGGCCTTAAGATCTTAAGTTCTAAACGATTCTTGAGGATGCTCCATGTCATAGTAAGACTCTGAACCTCAGCTTCAACCCCGTCTGCTGTGTGTGAACGCTGACTCGGCTGGAGACGACGGCCATGCCTGTGATTCGTGTGTGTTTGTGGCTGTTTGTCCTATCTACAACCATAATACAAAGTCACGTACAGCAGGTGTGGAACCAGTCACAAGCGCCACTGAGCGACCTCTGTTCAGATCAGTTCTGCCATGTTCCACTGCTCTGTGTTCCACTGATCCGAGTCCTGTCAGGCATCGGTGCATGACCCCGCGGTGCTGATGGCATGCGGGCGCAGTGAAGTATAGTGGGCAACAGTCGGGTTATTCGACTACGGACCATGGCTCTGAATGATGAGGTTGTCTGGCTTTATGTGCCGCAGTTCAGGGACTGGACAGTCAGGTTACTCAACTACTGAACATGGTTCTGAGTGATGAAGTTGTCTGGTTTGATGTGCCTCAGTGCAGCGGCTAAACTGAGGCAGTTTGATACAGTTTATAAAAGCCAAAGTAACGAGATTACGTGAAATTTGAAGTAGGTTCGTTAGAGCCCATTCAATGAAGATTCAGTGAATCGATCAAATTAAGAATGCACAAATTATGTATTGAACCAGGAGGGCTTATTCAACGAAAAAATTAAAGTTTGTACCATGGAAGCCATACTGCAGTAAATAACTATCGAAGAAATACGAGGCATGATCAAAATAACGGAACTCCCTGCTTCGTTGGCTTGGTTAACTAGATAAAGTAACAGTCTGGTGGATGAGGTTGAGTTCAGATGATAGACTGAGACAGAGCATGAATCAGCTCCGCATATTTTAGCTTGACAAACTGTTTTCAAAAGGCGCCTCCGACCACAATGCGCAAACCACATACCACAATCCACGAGAAATTTGCATCACTGCTTGAACATGTGCTAGGTACCGAAAACCAGACAAGCACTCACAAGATCTAAAGCATATTCATGGGTGTCGATGTAACGAAATGGTTGAGGGCCAGCCTTTCAAAGTCGCCAAAAGGGCTAAGTACGAAGAGCTTTTTGGATTTCGTCGACTCATGTTCAAGTCATCTACTGTATATATATATATATATATATATATATATTAATACATATATATATATATATATATATATATATATATATGTATTAATATACACTTATTTTTGCATCTAATGTGTTTATTGCACAAGATGCACACACGGCAGCCTGGCAGTTGGCACCAGCTTCCTACAACGCACCTTTTCTGTGAAGCAAAAGGGGTGCGGTGCTCCTCCCTTGCCCGCAGGCATGTGAAATCTGCGTATGACTCACCCTGATGTGCTTAGATGATCTATTATGAATCGTTGCATGTAGGTACTCACCGAACAGGAGTTTTCACAAGGCAATGACAGCCCGTTTAAACGCACGTTCTCGAGCCACCAGGCTTCATCAACAAAGCGTGTACTCCACGCATTGCAAAACAAAGGATCCAACACGCATGCACGCATCATTTAGGAAAATGATTCCCGTCATTTTCCCAAATACGCTTCTGCAGATGCACTCCTGATGATAATACTTTTTCACCGCTCATTTTGATGAAGACGAAGTGTGAGCCTGCCGCAGTTGTGGAAACACCGTTCCAAGCGGTTGTGCCTACAAGAAAAACGATCCTCACCCGCTTCAGTTCGAATGCGTGGCAAAAAAGTCATTTGTGTCAATGCCACGTGCCACGCGCTTTGACTGAAACAGGATTGCTAATTGAGCTGGCTCTTCACTGACCATGCATGTTGACCTGTGGTGAACAGTGGGGTGATTCGCATCATATCCAAGTACTATCGGGGCGTTTTACTCTAAATCTACGCCAAAGACAAGGAATGGTGAATCTGCATTACTCAGCTGGCGCACAGTAGCGCCATCTATCAATGTATTTCCTGCTTCACACGTGCGCGCGTCCTGGGATGAGCACGACAAACGCGTGTTTAACATATCGTTGGAAACTCTAGCGATCGGTGGGAATTTGTGGTAAGGGTGTTTCGGCGTGACCAAGCAGCTCTGAGTACTATTTCAAACTGTGGGGAAGCACCTATGCCGCACATTTCGTAAAACATCTGGCGTCTGTCTGCCAACTATTACTGGGTGACGGGATCCTTCTTCCCAGATGTTAGGCGATATCTGTTGTACCAGCTGTGCATGAGGGGTACTTTATCAGTGATACAATGCACCGACAGTGATGTCATTGACCAACTTGCTGTCAATGATGTGATTCACTGATTTACGTTCTGTGATTGACCAAAACGATTTCCATGAACTTTGTCATTCAGACACTTATTAACATTTACAGCACGTATGTATATGATTCCTACCTGAGCAGCCCAAGTCGAGATGGCAGAAGTTGTTAACAAACAGTGGCTGATTAAAAAGGAAGGAATCCGTCATCTTGCAATCGCGACGAATTACGACAGCACATACGAGGACATTTTGCTGACATATCGTTACGCATGCAGCTTGCTTACGATGCAGCCTACTATCTGCGAAAAAAACATCAATGCAATCTCCCCACCGTTTCATAAAAATTACCCCCTGTGTGTTGCATTATTCGAAAACGTTCATCCAGGTGCCATCTGCCAAGAAAAACAGCTAAGGCATGCTCTTCAAAGTTGCATCACTGTTCATGTAGTTTAAGGTTGTAGCTATCCCCAGATTTCAGAATCCTCGTCTCATCCACAATAGTTTTTGTATGAGGGAGCGCGGATAAAAACATAATGCAACTCTTCCTTCTCTTTCCTTGGCACACACAGCATCAAGTTCAATGAGCTTACCTATGTTCAGCCAACCTACTAACTCCGGGGGGCAGTGACAATGGTCATGTTCTACAGTTTGCTATCGTTTGGTCGAAAAACACGTATCAAACGCAGCACCTGTGCAGCGGCCACCATGCCGCCACAATGCTGCAGTAGATCACACTCGGCAACACAAGTGGATACACTGTAGACACAGGAGGCTCTTTGTCATTAGATGTCGATGACGTAATAGCGCAACTAGCATACTTTTGCACTTCTGCACATTCGCATCAAGTTGTGATGCCCGAGCCAGGGCCCCATAAAAAGGGCGTCCAGGCTATGGCGACTTCTTCACTGCGGTGATAAGCCGATTATCAAAACAGACCTGCTCGAGGAACAAGTTTCATATGCACTTATGTTCACAGACCTAGCTATTACCCGAGTCTCTGATGGGCTCTGCTTCCATTGTCTGTGAACAACTCTAAGTTGACAGTTGACTGACGGCGCCACGTGAAGTTTTACGTTGACCAACAGGTGCGATGCTCAGCAGCACCAGTGTCGCCAAACGTGTAGTCACGAACTGTTTCGCACCGATTTCACAACGAACTGCCTGTCGAGACAAGCGCAGTTTGATTTCGGGAAGAAGGATGTAACGCAAGCTTCGCATCGACCGCCGTAACAAGTAACATATTACGGTATAACTGCAACATATGCAACCTGCACTCATATTCACATACGGATACATGTGGGAGGTGCGCGGCACGAGTCTGTCTGCTATTGAGTGTTGTGTGGAAACATAAGAACATTTAGATCGGCCCGGCGTGCGTCTACTGGTCAGTGCTGCCATCTGGGAGTTATCGACCGAAGCTGGTGGGCAGATAGCCGCCGAGTCAGCCAAATCGAAGGATGTTCTTCCGCTCCAGCTGGCAATTTCCGGCTCAATGAAAACACAAATTCGCGTAAGTGTTCGTGTATAGTCGACAACAAACATTAAAGATCGAAGTCCATAAAAAGGCAGTGCAAACCTTTTCTGTACGTGAATATGAGGCTAAAAAACTATTAAAAACGAAAACCGAAACAAAGAAGAACGACGAAACGAAGCAACTGAACAGCGAACGAAAGCACACCTTTGGGAAAATCACATTTGATAAGCTGATTGTCTGCCCTATAACTACAACGATTAGCTTACAGCCGGACCTCAGTCTGATTTCCCATGGGCGTAGGAACAGGGGCAGGGGGGCAGGGGGCCATTTCCCTTTCCCTTGTCAAGGTGCAGGACCAGCGTTGTTAACTGGCCCCCCACTCTTCAGATCAAGGTTGTGTTTAGCTTACTTTTGCACCACATTTAAATACACATGCCGATTTACCTAGTTCACCAGCCATCTTCCTCAAGATGTGTCGTCTTTTTCGTTTGCTTATTGACCATCGCTTAGAGTCACAGCCGCAGGCCAACGCCGCGCGGCCTATGGAGAGTGCAACACCAGGTGCTCAGGCTGTTGTTGCTATGACTTGCGACCGCGTATGTTCAAAACCATATTACATAGTTTTTGGCAGTAATCAGTTCTGACTCAATCTTGAACATTTTAACATGGACACGGTTTTACCATGTTAATACAAGCTTAGAATCCCATTTCATCTACAATCTACGTTCATGGATTCTTTAATATCTCTGAAGAAAACGGAAAAACACGGAACTGGAGCCTGTGTGGCAATTATTGGACCACCTTAGCCGATCAGGGATGTTGTTGCGTCAATGAGGGTTCCTGTGCTCATCCGGGGCCAACTGCGCGGGTCAGAAGGCCTCCCGTGTCAGGGAGAGGAACAATGTGATATCATATATCCTTCCAATGGCCTCCGGATCGACCAAGAGATCCCGCCCCGTGCCACCAGAATGATAGCCAGAAGACACTTCGCGATGGGACGGAATGACCATTCAGCCCTTGACCGGAAACTGTAATGTACCCCTGGTGTTCTACTCAAGAGGCCCCTTGCCCGGAAGGAAATAAGGGGTCTCATTATTGCTGAGTGGAGTGGGGCCCTCATTATTGTTGAAAAGCACGGGTCGAAATGATTTTTTTTTAAAGACGAACAACGTTATGCCATGTTTGCCTGCGAGCGTTCATTTCTTTCAGAATGTCTTATGGAAACAAATTACATCAAAAGGCTCGAACATGTCCGCCCGCAACTTCGAGAGCAACGACAAGGATGGCCTGGGTTGCAACTTCTGTAAAACTGAAAAGTTTCGGCCGCTGCAAGTGCCACCAGACGGCGGGCGCTGTGTTAATTTGTCTTCTGGACAGATAAATAGCTGTGGAAACACGAAAAACAGAGATTTTACCTTTACTCTTCCAGTTCAACCACATTATTGTTGAGCACAGTAGGTCGGAATTAATTTTTTTTAAAAACGAGCAAGGCCATCCCATATTTGCCTAAGAACGTTCATACTTTCAGAATGGATTGGTGAAAAAAAATCATCAAAAGGTTTGAACATACCCGCCCGCGACCTCGAGAACAAGGACAGCGATGGTCTGGGTTGCAGCATCCGTAAAACCGAACGGCGTCGGCCACTGCAATTGCCACCAGACGGCGGGCGCCTGTCTTAATCTGTTTTCTGGACCGATTAATAGTTACAGAAACACGAAAAATAGAGAATCTGCCTTTACTCTTCCAGTTCCACCACCACATTCCAGCACCACTTCGTGGTGCTTTAAGGGCCAATCCGTTCTTATCATCAGTTTAAAAATAACGCGTGAAAGATGCGCCCAGACTGCCTTGTAAATGTAAGGTTTCATGTCCTGAAGCCTTCAAAGGTACTTCTTTCAGAAGCGTCATCCTTTTCGTCCACCCGTTAACCACGGCTCAGTATTAGCTGTTGAGCCAACGCTTCGCGCCCTACGGAGACTGCAACACCTGGCGTCGAGGTTTTTAAACTAAAATTTGCGAGTATGCTTGCTCAAAATTATCTCACATAACTTTTATTACTAATCGATTCAAGTGTTTAAAGGTTATTTTTTCAGAACCGTTATCTTTTGCGTTCATCGGTGGGCCATGACGAAAAGTTAACCACTGAACTAGCGCTCCGCGGACAATGGAAACTGCAACGCCTAATGGCAAGGTTTTTGTTGCTAAGATTTGCGAGCGCGCATGGTAAAAACCACGTTATATAAATTGTATCACTAATTGATCCTCACTGAATGTTAAATATATCCAGACAAACATGAGGTTGGCGATGTTAATACACATTGTTGACCATTCGATCTACAATCAAAATTTTCACCCTCAAATTGCGATCAAACATATCTGTCTACAATTTACCTTGGCGATGTCCTCAATGTCTGTAGAACGTAGAGAAAACATTATGGAAAGTTTTTGAATTCTATCGGCTTAGAAACAATCGACTAAGCCATTGCAAATTAAGAACACCGGTGATTTATTCCATGCGGTCGTTAAACGCCTGATTTGTGCAACTTATTGACCTTAAGACGTGCTCGAATGGAGGCCAACTCGACTCGCCCACCGAAGGTTTTTCCAGAATGGTTTCTGAACGGCGGGGTGCGGCCGCGCCATGTCTTGCATAGCTGGAGAAAATTGAATAGTAGATCGTTTGGCATCCAAAATTTTGATGCACTTTGTAAGGTCGCTGACCTATGGCAGGTCAAAATCAGGCCATGGTTTCAGCGAAGTCAACTTCTAGGCAATCGTCCAATCTGCTGCTGCAATGAACTGTTAGACGAAGCGATGCATCTCTGAGATGCTTTCCTGGCAACAAAAATATTGAATGAGCAAATTGCGTTGACCTAAGGTCAGAAATGAAAGTCAGACCAAGGTCAAAACCAACTTGCTTTATTACTCTAAGGCTTGCTGTATGAGATAGTTTCTGGTGTTCATTTCGAATTTATTGATAGCGGGAACCGCATTATACATCTTCCATGGACTTCGTAGAGGTCAGAATAGGCCATTGACCTAAAATGACCTAGTTCAACATTTTTTTTTTAAGAAACATACTGCCTAACGTAATCTTTGTCGCTCACTTACATGCAAAATTCAGAGCAGTCTTCTATGATTTTGGTCACCATGACTTCAAAAGGTCAAACAAGGTCACTGACCTTAACTGAACATGTGATCTTTTGCTTGCAAACAGCTATCAAGGTTCTGGGGGCCATTAGAGACAAACCTGGAATTTAATCATGTTTGACCTTGATTGACCCGAAATTCATGACCTAGGAACCTCAAACTCTGGCCTAGGTGAGTTAACGTACAGGTCAACACACCCTGTGAATTTGATGTCTCTAGCTCTGTCAGCTCCCGAGCTCCCGGGAGGGTGTCAAATTTACCCATCACCCGAGCGAAGGGTATCTAGCCGGCCACCCGGACGCGTGTTAAGAATGTAAACAGAATTGATTTCACGGTAACTTCTGGTTTCTGTTCCAGTTACAACGTAAAAATATGAATGAAACGAAGAAAATCGTGTCTCTTGTTAGCAAGTAAACTATATCCGGGAATATTTTTATGGGGGAATCACCATAAAGGCGGCTTTTGTCAACCCTGTGTTCCTCCTAGCGAGGCTCTGTGTACCTCCTGCCTACACACGAAAGCAGATCAAGTCATCTACGTTGAATAACGGGAGTTAAATGTTCGTTGCGCCAATTCATACCTAAAGTAGGCAGCTTCCCGGCGACATTTTTCGGAGGTGGTGTGGTGCAAGGGAAGATAATTCGGAAAAAGGCACTGCTGCAGATGTCCAGCACATGTCTTGCATCCCAATTAGTAGCAATGCTGATCCAGAAATGTGCAACAAAGTAGCCACATCCATCAGTTCGCGGTCAGTCATCCGGAGACAGCCGGGCCAGGACAGTGGCCACCGATGGCGGACGGGAGCAGGGCTGAGACAAGGAATATATGACAGAAGGACCTTCATTCTGTAGCTTGGTTTTCAAAGGAGAATCTCCAGTTCTATGGATTTTGTCGCATGGTTTTTGGCAGTTCCAAGCTTCCGAATTTGTTTCCGCCTAAAATACCGCGACAAGCCTTATGTCTTGAAATGTAGACAGCAAAATGAAGGCGCATGCGAAATCTGTTGCTCTGTGAGCCATCGATTCAGTTTAAAAATTCTCAAAATATGGCTTAGGCCATATTTTGGCATCTACCCTGTGAGGACAGATGCCTCCTCAATGACCCAAAATGCCTACCGGCTCGTGGAACTTCGACTCTCCAGGAGACAACGTTGAAATGGACGAATAATCTTGGGAAGCTGAAGCCTTATTTCCCGAATGGCATGGTTGAGTTGGATAGGCAAAAGGTGTGCACCAGTGAGAATCAACTCTAGATGCATATTTAGAATAACAGTCATTACATTTGAATAAAGAGCAAAAACCTCCATCTCTACTCCCCCGCCCCCCCCCCCCCCCCCGGTCATCGAGCTTGTTTTCCAAGTACGCCCTGGGCTTGCCCCCCCCCCCCTCTCTCTTTGAAACGTTCCTACGCCTATGTGATTTTCAATAGAGAACAAACAGGTAATGTGACTGAAGTCTTTAACTGGCAAACCCGCTGTTGTGTTCATAATCGTCAAAGATCCGCCCTCTCCCTTTCTTTCTGCTATTTTTGCTTTGCCATTTTTTGTAGCTTTTTTCGCCACCTTTGTATTAATTCCCCGCCACTGCAAAGTGATGTTCAGATCCGACAGATTAAACTGCAACATGGAAAAATCATGACGAATCATACAACACTAAATAAAGATAAGGCAAACCCGCACCATCTACATCAATGAAATGTGTTCCAACAGCCGACTGTCCGACCCAACGAACGAAACGGTACTAATTCCGGAGCTCCCCTGCCGGTATGCCGCGCGACCAAATATTTGGACACGCGCCTCCTTGTTTAAGCACCAATTTCCTGAGAACCGGTCATTTTCAAACCAGGACAAATCGTGCGCTTCGGGCGCGTCACGTGGAGCCTTCTCGGTAGTTATCGGCACGCGGCTGGGGCGCGGCCGGCTGGAGGAGCTCGATCGTCCATCGACCCCCTCCTGTTTACCTCCTCGGCACGGCCCGCCCCACACCGGGTCGCCGAGGGGTGGGGCCGCGCCGGAGCTCCGGGCGTCGGCAGCTGCACCCGACCAGCCGCCGACCAGCGGCCCGGACAGCCCAACCGTCACGCGGGCCCGTGTTTGTCGTCTTCGAGCCCCTATGGCGGCACCCCTGTCGACGCCGGTCCCCTATATAGGCGGCCGCGCCCGGCGGGCGGGGGTCACCAGTCACCATGCAGACGCTGCGAGTGGGCGCGCTGCTCGCCACGCTGGCCGCTGCCACCACCCTTCGCCTTCCCGATGACGTGCTCGACATCATGAGCCGGGCACGCGGCGAGCTCGGCCCCCGCAGGTGGACAGGCTGGTACAAGCGCGCCGGCGATGAGCAGCGTGCCGTGACAGCGGCCGGGAACGCCGCGGGGAACGTCACGGGCCGGGCCGGCACGCCGCCGACGCCAGCTGGCAGTAAACGGGCCGGGCAGGGATCATCGCCACCGCCGCCGCCACCCATCTGGAGCAAACGCGTCGCCGCCGCTTCCAACTCACTGCAGCCAGCCTGGCGCAAACGCTCCGAGAGCGACTCGAACCGGCCACCGCCGCCGCCGTCGCCAGTCTGGCTGAAGCGCTCAGGAGGCTCCGATCGGCCGCAGGCGCCCTGGAACGCGCCCAGTGCCGAGGACGACGACGAGTACGGACTGCCGCTGACGCCGGAGGACTTCGACAACGCGGAGCATGTGTCGGACGACGCGCCACGGAGCGGCGCCGGCGGCGCGGACCCCATCGAGCTGGCTGGCCTATTCGAGGGGGACATCGCGCACGCCGACGCCGAGCAGCTGGGCGCCCTGGCCGACTGGGACGAGACGCTCGTCGACGACGGCGCCCTCCTGCGCAACGCTGTCCTCAACCCCAGCAGGCTCTGGCCCGGCGGGCAGATCCCCTACACCATCTCGTCGTCGTTCAGCGCGCACGAGCGGGCGGTGGTGGCGCGCGCGGCGCAGGCGTTCGCGACGCGCTCCTGCCTGCGGCTCGTGCCGCGCGACGGCCAGGCCGACTACGTGCACGTGAAGAGGGGCCGCGGCTGTAGCAGCGACGTGGGTGTGCTCGGCGGCCGGCAGGAGCTGTCGCTGGGCGAAGGCTGTCTCTACACGGGCATCGTCATCCACGAGCTGTTGCACGCCGCCGGCTTCTGGCACGAGCAGAGTCGCGCCGACCGCGACGAGCACGTGCTCATCCACTGGGACAACATCCGGGTCGGCATGGAGTATAACTTCCATAAGAAGCCCTGGAGTCAAACGCTGGACCTGGGGGAGCCCTACGACGTGGGTTCGGTGCTCCACTACGGGCCGCGGGCGTTTGCGGCCGACCCGACGCGCCCCACCATCACGCCGCTGCAGTCGAGCTCCGAGATGGGTCAGCGGAACGGCTTCTCGGCCACGGACGTGGCCAAGCTGAACAGGCTGTACGGCTGCGACGTCGGCGGTCCGGGCGCGACCACGGCCGCGCCGCCGGCAGCCACGTGCCGTGACGTCGCCGAGTGGTGCCGCTTTTGGGCTGACGGAGGAGAGTGTGAGCGCAACAAGAACTGGATGGCCATCAACTGCGCACAGTCGTGCGGCGCCTGCGGCGGTAAGTGGCTCGGCCTGGCGCTGGCGAGGAGGTGGGCTATAAGGGGCTGGACCACAGCCCACAATTACACAGCTGTTTTTGCTCAGCGAGGCTGTCCATGTCAGTGGTGCATGTTTGTGGTCAGTGCATAGCCAAACTTTGGCTGCATAAGGTAAAGAAGACTATCTCCAAACGCGGCCAAACTGATTTAAACTTAACTCTAAAATGACGTCATCGCTTCCTGGATTACCAGTGAATCGGACACTTAATCGGCCATGCATTAGTGTTGCTCGCGAGCTGGAAAAAAAACTGCTTTCAAATTTGTCCAAGCCAAAACATGGATCAGTTCGGCGACAAAATGCTTCCTAAAAATGGGCCCACTTGAAATGCTTCGCGCATACAAACCAGCTCGAAAGATCCAAGCAAATATGAAGAAAAATTGGTTATTTACGTTGAAATCAGGTACCCTCATGAGGAAAGTTCATAAACATGAGCACCATGTGCATTACAATATCTACGAACGGATAGTTGCCACACATTCCCGCCCACAATGGACACCGCGACGCGCTTCTGGATTTGCATGCCGCATACCGCCTGGCGGCTAAGCTATGACACTGCGGACCAGCTTATTTACACAATAGAAAGCACCAGCATGAACTGCGGATCTATGCGAAATCCCCGACGCTATGTTTCTCGGTAAATAGCATCCATTATGTCGGGCGTGTCCAGCACAAACCGTGTTCGTTTACACACATGCTTTAAGCAGCTTTGGAAAACGTGTACGACGGAATTAAATATCGCTCAATATTATGGCACGTATCACTGTCAGCACATCGCCTAAGATTCAGCCGTGCTGACCCTAATGCTGGCCTCCTGCTGACCCTAACGCCTTCCGCCGGGGCAGCATGCGACGACCGCAGCGGCTCCTGCGCCCAGTGGGCGGCCGCCAACCAGTGCACGGCCAACTGGAGCTACATGAGCGTGTTCTGCCGACGCGCGTGCGGCCTGTGCGGTGCCGCGGCGGCGGTCGGCGTCACCGGCTGCGGAGACACGGACGGCCGCTGCGCCCGCTGGGCCGCCGCCGGCGAGTGCGACGCAAACCCGGACTACATGACCGTCCACTGCAAGAAGGCGTGCGGCTCCTGCTGAGCGTCGGCAGCGGCGCCCCATGGGTTGTGCTGTCGTTTGGTGCGGGTGTTCTCGTTACGTAGATGAGAACGGGGTTCTACAGGGTTCTGTAGCTGAAACTTGTGGATGCAGGCTCCTTCGGGACACCAGCTTTGTAACCGATAGCAGAGTTCCGCGAGCTCCGTCTCTCAGGGTTGACTAACACGCACTTCACGGTGATGGTGTATTCAAACGGCACTTACGGTTAGAAATACGATCCCCGCTTCAATTATCGGTGTGTAGAGCGGCGTCTGCTGAGGTATAACTGAGACTACACGACGCGTGTTCAACGTCCTCCTTGACATCCGCAAAATATACTTCACGGGACCGTGCGGTCACTGCGCCGGTGTACGATACACAGACATTTAGGATGGAATGGATGCGAGTGCAAAAGCTCCGAGATATCCTGAACAATGAAACAAAATGTACAGCCTTCAGCAGTCTTGAAGTGAATACAGCTTCCATTTTCACTTCGGCTTTCCTAGACTGACTATCCTACGTTTCGTCTTCGACTTTATGCCATTCTAAACGGTTGACTAATGCTTCGACTCTTGCCTTGCACCATCCTTAACAGATGTCTTCGGTTTTGACTCGAACAAATTTTGAGCTATGGTTCCGGCTTCGGGTTCATGCGAACTTACGTCGCTGGCCCGGTATTGTAGCAATTTCTCGCTGCATTTGCGCCTTAACATTACAAAGGCAGTTTGGCACGTCCTAGCCATCTAAATACTTACCAACAACTCTTCTAGGCTGTGATACATATACGGCTGAAATCTAACAATCGGTTAACGAAACTTTGTGTACGTACATGGCGAACACGAGACGAGAATGGTAGTTTAAAAAAAATACATCAGTTGCAATGCTAACACCTGGTCATAACCACACCACCGCGCCATGATATCGTCTGATCCCATACAGTTTAGCAGAAGCGAAAATAGTTTTGGTGTCACAAAACGACCTTGTCCGATCTCAGCCTCATTACTTCACACTGATGGGTTCAGACCGACTTCATCTTTGCTTGTTGACGAAGCCACCGACTTCGGTTCCGGCTTTGAGTTTATAAAGTTCGAGGCCAGTTTGGGTTCGGCATTTTCAAATTCGCAGCCATCGGATTCTGCTTCGACTCAGGCTTTGTGTGCCTGTCTTTGTCTCGGATTCGGTTCCGAAGCCAGAAGTGTGTCTTCGTTTCCATGCCTGACCTTCAGGCTATCCCAGCCCACAGTGATTGACTGCAGGGACTGTGCTAAGCGACATGAAGGGGAGGGATTCACGAAGAGCTGGGACGAGCTATTGTGCGAAACGGCCGAAATACGAAAATTTCCCCACCGTACCATTAAAAAGTTCCTCGAGGAGACCCTACCAGCACCGTCTCCCCAGAGGGACCGACGAGAGAGTGGCCGACCATGGTCAGCCGCTGAACCCACTCGGTCAGAGTGGTCCCATGGCCAGCCGCTACCCCCACTCGGTCAGAGCGGTCCCATGGTCAGCCGCCACCCCCACTCGGCCAGAGTGGTCCCATGGTCAGCCGCTACCCCCACTCGGTCAGTGGTCCCATGGTCAGCCGCTACCCCCACTCGGTCAGAGTGGTCCCATGGTCAGCCGCTACCCCCACTCGGTCAGAGTGGTCCCATGGTCAGCCGCTACCCTCACTCGGTCAGAGTGGTCCCATGGTCAGCCGCTACCCCCACTCGGTCAGAGCGGTCCCATGGTCAGCCGCTACCCCCACTCGGTCAGAGTGGTCCCATGGCCCGCCGCTTCCCCCACTCGGTCAGAGTGGTCCCATGGTCAGCCGCTACCCCCACTCGGTCAGAGTGGTCCCATGGTCAGCCGCTTCCCCCACTCGGTCAGAGCGATCCCATGGAAAAGTTACCAAGCAGTCCCTGCACAAGCCAACTTATTTATTTTCAAATGATATATAGTTTATTAAGTAGCACGTACTATCACAAATAATTGCATATCACTTCATAAACATTCAATTGCCATGCAATTTAACAGGAAAAACACCAGATACTTATTTGAAAAATGCACACGTGCAAAAACGACGTGAATCAACATCGCCAGCAGTTATCTGCAGCCGACAATCCAGTGGACAATGCGAAGTAGACGAGCGTGGCAACAAAAAACAAAACCAAAAAACTCTTGTGGATTACAGCATGATATATCTGCCGAGAACATGAAAGCGAGCACTGTAACAAACAGGCTGTCCAAAAGCCTATAACGCAGAAACGCATTTACAAAGCATCTAAGTCTCGGGAATGCACCAGTTGACAGGAGGCTGCTCGAGGAAGCCGGCCGGCGGCGTGGGCCAGCTGGCTGCACCAGGCGGCGCGCGTCGGCAGGACGACGCCAAGCGGCCTGCTACCCGTCGTCCGGCAAGGGGCGGCTGGTATACGGCGGCACATGGCTGCCAATCGGACTCCCCACGATGATAGCTACCGGCCCAGCCTGACAGGCAAGTCAACGTTCACGGAGGCTCGCCAGCGCCACGGCAGGAGAGACTTCCGGAGTCGCAGCGCCACAGTCGACTCTAGGAGCCGAAGCGAGACAGACTCCCGGGGTGGCAGGGGAGACTCCCAGAGTCGAAGCAGGAAAGACTCCCCGGGTCGCAGCACAAAGCGGTGTCGCACTAGAAGCGACTCCTGGAGCCGCGGCAGGAGCGACCCCCGGGTCCAGATCACCTGAGTCACACAGGAGCGACTCCCGGGGTCCAGATCACCTGAGTCACACAGGAGCGACTCCAGGAGCCGCAGCACAATGCGGCAGGCAGGTACTGTGGCAGGCACTGCGAAAGCATGCCTTTCTCGGATGTGCCTAATTTGAAACATCCCCGCGCGCTGCCTTTCCCATAGATAAGCTGATCTAGCTGCTAAATTTACAGGTCATCAGGCAAAAGTACACCGAAAAATGATTGCCGACTGTAGGCTTTAAGCCCCACTGTCACGTGTGTGAGATGCATTGCTTGCACGGACTAGGACACAGCTGTAAACCGTGGACGGACGCGCAACGACAGGGCCATCCTCAAACGCTCAAGCACCCGCAGAAAACAACGGCTGCATCACCTGGGACCCATATAAAACCAGTCTTTCCACGGGTAATCTGGGAGCCAGCTGACAACTACCAAACGCAGCGATTTGCGAAGTCGAGACGCTTGGATCCCGTGAAATCCGGCTGGGGAGCAGCGATTGCTCCGCGGCGCGCCGGCACGCCAAATGCACATATCGAGGCACCAATGAGGGCAGAACACAATGGTCAGATCACCAGCCCAAGGCCGAGATGAGGCCGAGCTCGCCCCAGCGCAGTACGGATGCTTTGCTTAGCCGTGGAGTAACCAGTGACTTCACGCCGAGGCATCACTCGCACGTGACTGACCTCCGGTTGATATCTCGGCGACTGTGCCTGGCTTCGAGCGCCCCCCCCCCCCCCCCGCCCCGCCTCGTGCTGAACTACGGATGCTTGTCGGAGCCCTTCTGCGCCCGGAGTCAAGCTGTTGCCTCATTCGCGGCTGACACATCGTCGAGTGATGAGCTGAGCCGGCCGCCGAGACCGCTGTCAGAGTTCACGTGACCTCCCGCTGACCTCTGGCCTCAGGCGGCGCCGGGTCGGCCGGCGGTGCTGCCGTCGCCCGCCCCCAGACTCATGGCGCTCAGGTGCGCCAGCGTCGCCTTCACGGCCACCGAGTTCCCGGAGAAGAAATTGGAGACGGCCTTGTGGAACAGTATCAGCTGGTTCTGCATCACCTTCACCTGGCAGTCATGGCGCCATCCGGTCACAGCGTGACGATACCGTCGACAAAGGCAGTCCGGCCCAAACAAGCCCAGACCGCTGGTATTGCTCACTCCAAACCAAAGTGCACACAGTTGTAATGCTAATAAGACGGCACGGCTATATCACGGCATGTACAGGCTGGCTCTAACGAAACGAAAACGAGTGCTATGCGTCGGGTATTCAACGTCTTTCACACCTATACATCGTAAGAATATGAGATTAAGCCGGCAACTAAAACCTTCCTCAAACTTAAACCTCCGGCCTTTCGACGAATGTTCCACTGTCAGCGTATAATTGTCAGCAACACCTCTATGACAAAGTTACCGGGTCCCCAAGCCAATAATAATTCTAAGTACGCTCATTTGGCAACCTCATTGCACCCTAGTAACCGGAAAAGCAAACTTCCTAGTCCATCACACTGATAACTAAACATATATTGGCATCCGTGCCACGGCCTTCCCCGCCCACCAACGCCTTCATCCCAATTCCACAGTTGTCCAGTGTCCGTGCCGTCAGCGGAAACCGTCAGTCTCATGATGTCAGCAGGCCTCATGACGTCGGCGGGCCTTATGACATCAGCAGGCCTTATGACGTCAGCAGGCCTCATGACGTCAGCAGGCCTCATGACGTCAGCAGGCCTCATGACGTCAGCAGGCCTCATGACGTCAGCAGGCCTTATGACATCAGCAGGCCTCATGACGTCAGCAGGCCTCGTGACGTCAGCGGGCCTTGTGACATCAGCAGACCTCGTGACGTCAGCAGGCCTCGTGACGTGAGCGCGCCTTGTGACATCAGCGGGCCTCATGACATCAGCGGGCCTCATGACGTCAGCGGGCTTCATGACGTCAGCAGGCCTCACGACGTCGGCGGGCCTTATGACATCAGCAGGCCTCATGACGTCAGCGGGCCTCATGACGTCAGCAGGCCTTATAACATCAGCAGGCCTCATGACGTCAGCAGGCCTCATGACGTCAGCGGGCCTTGTGACATCAGCAGGCCGACTCACCCTGTTCTCATCCAGAAGGCGCAACTTGACGGAGACTTTCTCTCGGAGCCGCTCGTATTCGGCGCGCCGCAGGTCATGCTGCCGCTGTGCCTCGGCCAGCAGGGCCGGCGCGCCGGCCGGCGCCTGGCTCTGCTGCTGCGCCCACTCCAGGTCGGCCCGGTACGCGTCGTATTCCACCCTGGCGGCACAGTCAACAGTCGTACTCCGCCCTGACGGCGCAGTCAACAGACGTACTCCACCCCGGCGGCGCAATCAACAGCCGTACTCCACCCTAACAGCGCAGTCAACAGACGTACTCCACCCCGGCGGCGCAGTCAGCAGTTGTACTCCACCCTGACGGCGCAGTCAACAGTCGTACTTCACCCTGATGGCGCAGTCAACAGACGTACTCCACCCTGACGGCGCAGTCGACAGTCGTACTCCACCCGGACAGCGCAGTCAACAGACGTACTCCACCCCGGCGGCGCAGTCAACAGTCGTACTCCACCCTGACGGCGCAGTCAGCAGTTGTACTCCACCCTGACGGCGCAGTCAACAGTCGTACTTCACCCTGACGGCGCAGTCAACAGACGTACTCCACCCTAACGGCGCAGTCAACAGTCGTACTCCACCCGGACAGCGCAGTCAACAGACGTACTCCACCCCGGCGGCGCAGTCGACAGTCGTACCCCACCCCGGCGGCGCAGTCAACAGTCGTACTCCACACTGACGGCGCAGTCAGCAGTTGTACTCCACCCTGACGGCGCAGTCAACAGTCGTACTTCACCCTGACGGCGCAGTCAACAGACGTACTCCACCCTGACGGCGTAGCCAACGGTCGTACTCCACCCGGACAGCGCAGTCAACAGACGTACTCCACCCCGGCGAGTTGTCGGATGTTCACACGATGCACGCCACACGTCACCGTGACGCGGGGGTCCAGCCACAGACCGGACCAGGGCCGCAAGCGGTGTACTACGCTATGGTACAACAGTACGCATGGTTGGCATTTCAGACAGCTAAAATAACTGTCCGCAATGTTCTGGTTTTAACTGGTTAAAATCGGCACAAAGTGGCAGAATTTCAGCTAATTTTATGTCCTGATGTCGTAAATCAGAATGGATCATATTTCCTTTAACTTAAGTAAGGAAATATCCGAACTGACTCTAAGACCATTGACCATGGCCTGTGTGACCATTAACCATGAGCTGTCTAACAATGACCATGGCCTCACTGATCATGGCCTGTGTGGCCATTAACCATGAACTGTCTAACAATGACCATGGCCTCACTGACCATGACCTGCGTGACCGTTACCCATGGCCTGTGTGACCGCTGACCATAGCCTGTGTGGCCACTGACCACGGCCTGTGTGACCATTGACCACGACCCGTGTGACCACTGACCATGGCCTGTGTGACCATTGACCATGGTTTGTGTGACCATTGACCATGGCCTGTGTGTTCCTTGACTGCTAGCCGCGACGTGCACCATCCGGAAGCGTGGATGCCTCCTGCACCAGCTGACACAGACGCATAATATCACACACATGAACCAGAAGGACGGCTGAATGTAGAATAATCTGCTGCATGCCAGTAACTACTAGCTGATGCCTCGAAACTTGTATGTCAATATAACATTGATCATGTGAATAATAAACGTCGGTGCCACTGCATTGCCTTCGTGATATGCATATGTAGTCTGAAGCTGAACCTGCAAACCCCTAAAACATGTAGTGGATCAAAACCCATACCTTGCAAGCCTGCTTCAGGGTTTCCAGACCTGTATTTCCCATCTGGTTGACAACAAATATGCTCTAGGTTTACATCTCGCCATTTGATGGCCAGCGACAAGCTGTCGACATGAAACAACCGACGCCTTACCTACAACGCGGTTACAAGGCAAATAAGCAATCGCATTGCATTTCTAAGGTTTATATCACATTTCGAGTGGCTTGGGTGATTGAATTACCACATTTTGACGTGTAGCATTAGGTTTGCGTGCAGCAGTTTTCGCCAGCCGGCAAAGACTGTCGCAATTTGTCGTTGCCAAAAGTCCAGAATTTTCAGCACCTTAGAATTAAGCTTACATGATGCGCGTGAATGGGGGATATTGTTCCTGCCTTCTTTTTGTACACATCAATACTTTTTACTTTACTCCGAATGGTTCGGGTGCATGTCTCAGGGTGTAGTATACTGGTTGAGCAGAGCCTGCCACAGTGTACGTTAAACCGGCCACCCAAGCTGTACCGCCCTGCCCACCAGCTGGTTTGCTTGCGCTCTGGCAGCAGCGCGGAGAGTTTTACGCGTCGCACAGTGCTGCCGCTGACAGTCAGTCCTCGATCTTTCAACCAGACAGCGGAGCCGGAAAATCCGCTTTTGAAAACTTTGTTGTAATTTATGTCCGTCTGCATTTTTCGCAGCCCGCCCTTACTTTTACTGCAGCTTTGTAGAGTTAGGAGCCATGCTGACACGAACTGTCCTTTGCAAGTAACTTGCATCGTTAACTTACCCTTCCCATTCAGTAAATTAACGATGCAAGTTACGATGCAAGTCAGATGCCCTCTGGCCTACTGAACGTTTCACCGTGCTTGAAATTTTGATACAGGTGGTTTCTGGCAGTCGGTTTTAATAAGCAATAAAAAGCGTGGAAAAAATCCCTCCGTCGGCCACTGGTCTGACCATGACAGTAAGAGCTCACTGCGCACGGGTCGGCACGGCGCGCGTCGCACTACGTCACGACCGACACGATCAGACGTCGCACGATCGTCTGCTCGCAACTCATCGGGCGGCCTCGTACTGTCTGACGGTGGCGAGCGTGTCCTCGATCGTCCGCTCGCAACTCACCGGGCCGCCTCGTGCTGTCTGACGGTGGCGAGTGTGTCCTCGATCGTCTGCTCGCAACTCACCGGGCGGCCTCGTACTGTCTGACGGTGGCGAGCGTGTCCTAGATCGCCTGCTAGCAACTCACCGGGCGGCCTCGTACTGTCTGACGGTGGCGAGCGTGTCCTCGATCGTCTGCTCGCACAGTGTCTGGACGGACGAGACGAAGAAGACCAGCGCCTCACGCAGCGGCCGGCCGCTCTCGTGCAGCGCCCGGTGCGAGGCGGCGTTACAGCCGAACTCGTCCCGCAGCTCGGGACTGCGCTGCCCCAGCTTCTCAAACAGCTCACCCAACTGCAGCTGCAACCGGACGTAGGTCAGGCCCCGACGGCCAGCTGCAGCCGAGCAGCTCCCCAGCCGCAGCCAAGCAGCTCCCGCAGCTGCAGCCGAGCAGCTCCCCGGCTGCAGCCGAGCAGCTTCCGCAGCTGCCGCCGAGCGCGAGCTGACCGCCGACTGCCGTGCCTCAGTGTAGGCCTTAACGCGGCAGTAGATAGGCACAATTTTGACTACAAGGGGGTTACAAAGGAGTTCAAAGGGGCTCACCCCGTCATAAAATCCATGCGTTGTGCAGAAAGTTGTGGCATATCTTAATTTTCCTGGCACATTGGGTACCTTGGTCCTGCTATGAGCTTTTCATTTAAGCTGTACCAATTCCGTACCATTTGAACGTTCACACGGGATAAAGGAAGGCAAGTACAATTCGCTCTTTCATTGCCGCAGCGTTCCAGTTCATAGCACTACGGCCGGAGAGGGCGCAGAAGTCGCGACATATCATGTTTTAATGTCGTGTGATTATGAGTTGATCTGTTCATGCTCGTGATTTTCTCTCAATCATTTGGTAGTAAGTTAATTTGTAAGTGTTGAAGAACTCTAGCAGGACCATTATATTCTGTTCCCTTTTAATACAGCAAACATCACACGGTTTATCTGGCACGCCTCGTCTTTCAAAATCTGGAGCTTTCATGAAAATATTCGTCGCTGGCCACTAGCTGCCTGCTGTTGTCGCCGGCTGCTAGCCATCTCACACGCTCCTTAAAGAGACACCCGATTCGCTGTCCCCAACACATCAAGGGAGCTATCATTACCGGCGGACAAGCCATCTTTGCACCTCCACGAACTGGTCCGACGCCGTATTGTGTGTTACGTGTCACATGCTTGATATGTCTACGATCTAACCCCACCTTGCTATATGCCAAACCCTGTGGCACATTTGTTTTGTGTGAGCTGGGTCAAAGTGACCTGATAACTGACCTGACATACTCATGCCCTGTGTGGGCAGATCCCTCTCTTTAATCAACCCAGAAAGATGCCCTTCTTCCTATTTAGACAACACATTCGAGAGTCACAAATCGGCATACAGAAGGGTACATTAAAACATGAAGGCACCACCTACCTGGGAGGCAAGCATATTACTTATATGCGACGACAGTGCTTGCGAAACCCTCACGAGGTCACGATATCGCGCCTGCGTATCCCGGAGAACAATTACTTGAGCATTTATTTCTGAAACAAACGTCACGGGGATGTTCAACACATCATCCTATACACACTTAGGCTGCTATTATGCGAGCGTCGTAGGCGTACGCATTTAAGCGACACTTTCCATAATGCTGTTTTGCTGACATAAATGCGTATGAGCTATACAGAGCACGCAAGTTACTGACAAGCAAGCGCGCCCCCGTTCCTGTATGTCGGACCGCCCACACTGGCAGAGACTGAAAAAGCATGCATGACGCACGCACAACCCGTCAAGCACATAAGAATACAACCCGCCCATAACCACCAACAGTAACGCGGACAAAACCAAACGCCTCACAAGCTGAGGCCGCGAGCCTCCCGGCGGGCGGGGCTCGGTGAGAGCCCCACCGGCGGCGCCCACCCGCCGGCCGGCTGGCAGTCCGACCGACGGACAGGGCTCGGTGAGAGCCCCACCGGTGGCGCACACCCGCCGGCCGGCTGGCAGACTGACCGGCGGATAGCTCGGTTAGAGCTCCACTGGCGGCGCCCACCCGCCGACCGGCTGGCAGTCTGACCGGCGGACAGGGCTCGGTTAGAGCCCCACCGGCGGCGCCCACCCGCCGACCGGCTGGCAGTCTGACCGGCGGACAGGGCTCGGTTAGAGCCCCACCGGCGGCGCCCACCCGCCGACCGGCTGGCAGTCTGACCGGCGGACAGGGCTCGGTTAGAGCCCTACCGGCGGCGCCCCCCGCCGACCGGCTGGCAGACTGACCAGTGTCCACAGTCGGCTCGGCGCGTCCCAGTCGCTCGGCGATCAGCTGCCGCGAGCACTTGTAGGTCGTGACGCCCCAGGCCTTAAGCGACTCCAGACGGTCCTGCACGCCCGGCTGGCGGCGGCCGGGCGAGCCGGGCCGGGGGGCCGACGGCGGTGGCAGCGGCGACGCTGCGACAGACAGGCACACCGGCTGGACCACCAGACGGGACACGGCGGAGCAGGCAGCGATGTCATCACCGGTGACGACTGCGGTGGTTCGTGTCAGTACCCGCTGGACACCAGCGACACATCCGCACTGACAACTAAAGCAAATGTGTGAAAAGAAAGGCGGCTGTGGTAAGCCAATGCAATCAAAATTTCAAAGTGCATCTGGGAGGGGTATCTCCTCCTTTCTCATCTCGGATGGACATCTCCTCTCATTCCATCTTAGAGGGACATCTCCTCTCATCCCATCCCGGAAGGGTATCTGCTCACGGGTGTGGTCCGCCTGTGGGCTGTTGTTTGTCGGCTCGCTGAGGTGCGGCAGCGTGGTGCCGAATGTGGCCGGGTCTGCCCAGTCGTCCAGGGCGGGCGCACCTCTGCCGGGCTGGTGTTCATTACCGGCGCCAAGGACCGGGCCACCGGCGCCACCAAACCACCGACTTTGGGCGGGCACAGAGCCGCCATCCGCTGGCGTGCAGCCGTCCACGCACGAGGGCCGGCCGTAACCGGCCAACGGGCTGTCTCCCAGCTCCACCTCGTCCGCATCGCTGAGGTCGTCAATGGATAGAGGAAGGCGCTCTCCGTAAGATGCCATGCTTCACCTGAAACCCCCAACAGTGTGGACTAAGTGTGATATCACAGGCAAGGCCAAACAATGGGCAGGAGGCTGGGAGAAGCTCATATAGATGCATTAAGAGCATCTCCAGAGGACTTGATTCCTGTTCTGTTAGGTACACACCAGCACATGCATGAACAAAGTCACATTGGGTGGCATTGTCTCTACAGATTAGTGGAACAAACACATTGAACATTTCAACATTGTTCAATTGTTGACATAAGTGGGATGAATACTCTAAATCTCAGACATTCTGGTCATGCTGGGTCCTGCATTGCAAGGAGAGTCATGCCAGCTCCACTATTTATTTTTCTAAAGACTTCAGCCAAAGGTATTGAATGGATGTATTTCTGGGATCAGAGAACACACTAAGCATTGCTTGCTGTGTGAGCCCTGACCCCTTGCCATCTCATCACACAATGTCACATCAATGACAGAATTTGATGGTGGGAGTCATGTGTTGCAATGTTAAACAGGGTTCATCCTGCCTTCTGGCATTCCCTGATCTTTTGTGGCCACTGCCACTGGCTGCAGGGAATGCTTGTCAAATAGAAATAGTGAGCACCTGATCAGATTTAACCCCCCTGCAATGTGTAGGTGGATTGGAAAGCAGGCACTGTAACTGGGCCATCAGAATGGACAGACACTATCACAGCCATCGTAGGGCTGCCCCCATCAAGCCAGATGTGCCATTTGTTGGATGAGTGGGAAAAAATATGTCAAGAAGTGTATGATAAGTCAGTGAGCCAGTTGAAAAGCAAGTATTATGATTTATCTATTGAGGGTATCAATATATAAATATGTGTTCTCCATATGTAAGCATTGCACTTGCAATTTTGTATCAATAAATGAGGAACTATGGTCAAATTTTCAATGTTTAAGCTACTTGTAGCCTCATGCAATCAATAAAAACAAAAACAAAAAGGCTACAAATGCTAAAAATGCTAACATAAGCTAAAAAAGCTAAAACAAATTGTTATTGCCTGTTAAACCCATAACATACACCTTATTTCCTTCCAGATTTTATGTGCACTGAGTAGTGCAATGAACATAATACTCATGCTGGAACATTTCACGATTGGGTGTTATCTCTACAGCTCTGTCATCAAACTATGCTGCCATGCATAGCTCAATCACCCACTAATATTTTTACCTTCGACATCTCAGGTGGGTCAAGCCCAACAAAAAATATACTCTTATCCAGTCTGCAAACCATAAAATACTTTGAAAGATCTTGTAGGAGCTAAGGTAGTGCACAAATTTTAACTTAATGCAGCTTATCTTAATTTGGTGGCAGAAATTATTAAATTGAAGTCATAAAGGTTTCACAAAGTTCTGTAACTCACAATAATACCATCATAGAAAGCAGCCTACCAATCTGATTATCAGCCAGCTTTGAGATGATAAGTGACATTTACAAAATATAATCCATTGGGATGACTACCCTTTTGGGGCAGGCTTCTGCCTGCCCTAATAATCTTATTGGTATGCTCATCATAGGTTGCAAACTGTTCTTAAGTCTTTCCTAGAACAAAATAGTTGATTTTAACATGCATGCATCTCAATAACTCCCACCCACCACAAATCTGACACTTGGTCCTTTCACATTTCATTAAAACACTGGGTCAAAACCATGCTGTAACAGGCACCTGCCACTGTTACAGGACTATGATATGGTGACTGCCAAGGATTAAGTTCCACATGACAAGAGCAAATTTTGATCAAATGCCACTAAGCACGAGCTATTGGTTCTTCAAACTCAGTTAAACAGGCACTCAAGGCACTTCATAGCACACTGGCATTTTGCATATGCTATGCTTGTGGTATTTTATTTTAATGCACCTTCTAATACAAGCAGATCACATACCATGATGTTGGAAATTAGATGAGAACCAGAAAGCGCATCAGATATAATGCTACATTTTTTGTTCATACCTTATATGCTGCACGCAGGGCGTTACGTGGAATGAAAGCACCAACTGGGAGAAATCACAAGGATATTGAGCCTGTACACCTTTATGTAAGACAAATGCGCGAGGCATTCCAACTTCACACGTTCAGCACTCCAGTAAGCATACTTTTATATCCTCCAAATCTATATATTGTTAAAATCATTGCATTACCTGTTTACTGACAACGAATCATCACCCGCCACGGAACCGCCCAAAATCTCATCAGTCCTGGCCTTGAGTCCTGGCGCCGGGCACCGTGTATGTCGCACATGCCCCTCAATTGTCGTATGATTTATGGCGATGCGCCCACGTTACCTGGGTCTGGGTTAGCAGAACCTGGCAGCAAGTGACGTATTCGCGGGGTACTAGATTTTGTGGTCACTGGATACGGCGTCTAATCGGGTAGATTGCTGGGCTAATGCAGCTTTCCTCAATCTTAAGGCCTTCTATGGAAAATGACTGGAGTCCAGGAGCTTAGTGTACGCCGTAACATCTTGATTAGCTTTTGCTAATGATATACGTAACGACGTAAGCAGTAACAATTTAATAAATTATTCTGATGTATGCCAAACATTACAGTTGTGCTGAATTTGATGCTCTCATCAAAATCTATTGCCGTTGTTGTCGTGGTTACGGGTCTTCACACACGTGTAGCACGGCATAAATTCGTGAATATTAGGCGCGTGGTAGTGCTATTTTTAGCTGGTCCACATCGCCCAGGATTTCTCACTGCGCAGAGTCTTGCCGCGATGCACCGTAAAGCGAGAACATTGCAGCTACCGCCTCATCATTTCCCAACTAAATCAAGACAACACGCGCAGTAAGGCATGGTTTCGTGCCCGCCGATATCAAGTGCCTGTTCAAGGTTTCGAAGGCCAGGATTCGCTCGAAGCACTTTATTACAAAATGGTTTTGAACGCGATTTGAAGTTTCATCTTCTCCATCTCGCGAAGGACTTACATTCAATCCCTGCGCGCAAACCCGGAATAAACAACGCAAAAGGAAACACTGTCAGTAGCAACGCCAGCCCTCGGGAACAGCTCAGGCGCGCAAGCGGGATCTAGCTATCCATGCAGATGCGTGGCTATGGCTCATGCATGTTTTTTCCTTTTATGTGCTCTCAAACTGTTCAAGCCTCTCCTGGTAAAAGGGTCGATGGGGTGGAAAATATCGTCGAGATCCCCCCTCCCTAAGAATTTTTTTGAGGTTATCTTTCCGGCATAATGTATCGTGTCAAACTTCTCTGTGTCATCTGGGGCATTTGTTATACGTGTTTGGACACAAAAAAGTGTCCATAGCATCTGGCTTCCTAAAAGTGGCTTTTTAGGAACACTTCGCGGCAATCTTCGGCCAGCGGGCGGCGGGCGGCAACGGACAAAGTCGTTGGTGGTGGCGGGGACCAGGGATGGATCTAGCCTGGAGTTGTTTTTTTTTGGGGGGGGGGGCAACCGTTCGTTGCCAGCTGGCTGGTGTGGGATCCGAGGTCCAGTGCATGGTGCCTCTCGCAAGTACCTAGAAGGGACATCATTCAAGCGCCGAAATGCTTTTGGATCTTCCATATACAGTATACAGGTTCACAAAGCTTGTAACATAAGATATTATTTTCAAGAGTCAACTGGTCAGATGGGGTTTATCGCAAATGGTGATCAGGGTGACAAACGGCGAAACATAGTGATCAGGCCGGACAAAGGATGATTCTAGTGGCTATGGAGCGTGGTGGCAGCTGCGCAGCGGCTGCGGCGAGCGGGCACACCGGTGAGCCGCGCTGCGGAAGGGGATGAATGATGAGTCAGTCAGGAGTCGGGATGCAACGTTCCCGAAACGGAAAAGTCTGATACCGCACCATCAAAGTTAAAACAGACGGTAAGTGGACGAAACTTTTATGAAGTTCTGGGAATGTTTTAGAGGGGCCAAAACATCTAGAGTTTTTTGGGGGAGCCATGGCCCCGTGCCCCCCCCCCCCCCCCAGGATGCGCCTATGGCGGGGACGTCAACTTGCATTAACAGAGCTCTACGTTATACATATATGCTCAGAACGCACAAAACCAGATGTCATATGCTGAGAATGAGACAGTTAACACGTTTGCGTGACTTTCATGGCGGGTGGATCGCGTCGACTCCATCATAAGTTCGCTTTATGAAAAACAGCACGTCAGGGTGAGGGTTGAGGTTTTTAATTAGCATCCCCTGCTCACTCGTATAGACGCCCAAAATATTGCCAATTTTAAGTGCAGAAGATAATGGGCTCAATATAAAATGAAAGGACTCAAAATTTCAATGAGTGGACAACACAGCGGAATCTTGGCCATAGCCAATACTAATAGCCCCAGAACTACAACTGTGAAGTAAGCGGCATATCTGTGTTGGACCGTCGATCGATAATCCAGGCTGCCCCAGTTCAGCTAAAAATTAGCAAGCCAATAAAATCTTCGCCCATGCATCTCGAACTTCGGAAAGCTAAAGCTTCGGCAGATGTCTACGAGTGCGCATTTTGAACGCCATCACAATGGTCCGCTTTGACTGACTTTGAACTTGTGCTGACTGGCTTGTACTGACTTGTCACCCGAAAACCTTTCAGGCAGTTGCGCGGACTCGCCTTACCCTTTCAGGTTTGGAAACGCGTATGCGTAACGTAATTAGCCTCGCAAGTTTTATTCAGGTCGTGAGAGCCCTGCATATCGATGTGCAACGTGGTATTCGACTGCTGCTAGCTCCATAGGCGTCCCAGAATTTGGCTTAGGCTGGATCAGGCATACCATAGCGCCCAAGTTCTCGGCGTACTGCCAGGCTATGCTTTCAATGCGATAAACCAGAGAAAAGTGCTACCGAACTATTGTTATGGATAAGCATGCTGTCATCAAACACTCAGCGCAAATTTCGACGGTTCCATGGATGATTATAGGTTCAGATGGGTGCAGGCTATTCCATTCGTTTAAAATGCCTCGTAAGAAGCGACGTTTGATCACGATCGGAAATAAGGAATTCATTTTTGAGAGATGCTGCGGTGAGTTCTAAAAGTCGATTAGGT